CATTACGCTCTGCGCATGTCTGGATGCGTTGAGTCACCGTGTTGTACCACATGCCTTGGTGAGAGCAAGTTCATGGGGTATAAATAAGAGTGTCTCACATATCTAGACGTGTACCAAGCTGCACTGACGAGGCGTTGAACGCCGAAACATGCATGTCTGCAGATTGTACTATATATATATATATATATATACATACATATATATAGATAGATATATAGATAGATATATAGATAGATATATAGATAGATATATATATATAGATATATATATATATATAGATATAGATATAGATAGATATAGATAGATATAGATAGATATAGATAGATAGATATAGATCTATAGATCTATAGATCTATAGATAGATATATAGATAGATAGATAGATATATAGATATATAGATAGATATAGATAGATATATATATGTTGAGTTGTGTAATTGTACACTCCATAATATGTTAAGTTGAAAATGTTCTCGAGTGTGTATTATATAATAAAACTAGAAATACATGCATGCAATAACCCCTCGCCTGTTTTCAAAAGATGTATACTCAGTGCCGTTGCTAGCACTTCGTCTCAGGGGGGTGTGAGGTTAGATAGAGGGGGGGGTGGTTACCAAAATGTTTCCAGATGTACAAAAAATTTTCAGGACATATAATAATTTTTCCGAAAATACAGTTGTTTTCCAAATTCACTTTCTCATGTCCTGAGAATTACCTGAATCCCCCTAAAAATCTTCTGCAAATCTACTTAAATTTACCTAAAAGTGCACTGGAAATCTACCTGAAATTCCTCATGAGCAATTATCAGGGGTGTTGCACCCCCCCCCCCCCACCAGTGAGTTTCACGCATTCACGCAAACACTCTCTGATTTATTGTTCGTGTATTTCATCTCCCAAAATTTTGTGCATCATACTATAGAGCATTTTGCTGTTGTCATGGTCTAGCGTGGTTCAAATTTATGAATTTTTATCATATAAAGTATAGTGTTTTATGTACTATTTAAAACACGAGTAGGAGTGCAGCCGAGCCTTATATATCTGATAAAACACGACAACGAGTGTTTTGAATAGCTTAAAATACGACTACAAAAGACTACTAATTAGGATGAACCATAGTATAATCATGCTAATTAAGATCAACAATTATATAATGCCACATGTGTTTTATCAGATATAAAGTCACTCCACGTGACATATTATGGCTGACATGTTTGCCACAAGGTTTATGAATTATTAATGAGTATTTTAAAGAGATTTCGAGCACTGATAAAAATGATAATCTCACATGTGAAATTATTCATGATAATCTCACATGTGAAAATTATCGCTTTTCAATTATCGCTTTTCTGTAAAAATTATCGCTTTTCAAAGACTGTCCTTTATATAATAAACAGAAAAATACATGGGTGGTTGGAAATACCAGATTTATTTTTCGTGTTTAACATGACATCTCACTCGTTCGATGCGCTCACTTGTTCGCTCCGCACTCATGTTCAACACTCGAAATAAATCTGGTATTTCGTGCACCCATGTATTATTCTCTATTTAAACTACAACTTGACTGGTTTAAATTATTATCAAGTTATCAGTGATAGTAAAAGTGGCAGATAGAAGTGTTTTGTTTTATATTATTATCAAGTTATCAGTGATCGCAAAACCTCCAAATCCTTAATTTCAAATGTTAGAATGTTAGGGTTTGCAATCCAAGTGAGAATTATATACATTTTAAGACCTAACCAGGAACGACTGCGAAAAATGCAGCACAAGGTCCTCTGGTAGGAATTGAACCTACAGCCCTGCGATTCCGGTGCAGCGCTCTAACCAACTGAGCTACAGAGGCCAGCTGTTGAGCTTTAACCGTAAGTTCATGTATATTTAGGTAATCGGGTGTGCGGGTTGTGATAAGGTGGACTTCAATAATTTGGATTCTTGCACTTCACTTGTTGGAATTAATATTAGAATGTTAGGGTTTGTAATCCAAGTGAAAATATATACATTTTAAGACCTAACCAGGAACGACTGCGAAAAATGCAGCACAAGGTTCTCTGGTAGGAATTGAACCTACGGTCCTGCAATTCCGGTGCAGCGCTCTAACCAACTGAGCTACAGATGCCAGCTGTTGAGCTTTAACCGTAAGTTCATGTATATTTAGGTAATCGGGTGTGCGGGTTGTGATAAGGTGGGCTTTAATAATTTGGATTCTTGCACTTCACTTGGTGGAATTAATATTA